GGATAGTACAGTATTCTGGGTGAAGGTTGGCTGTCCACTGCCCTCTGCTGGTCACTAGTAGGACTGCAGAACATGTTTCTTTCCCCGTCAAACACCACATTCCATTTGATAAAGTAAGTTGAACAGTTTTATATCGTTTTGCAGTAATAAAACAAATTATGATTTTAATTATATATTTAAAATTACAGAAACAGAATAGACTGGGTCTATACTGCAACTTATAGCAAGCAAACATACACAAACCATATTAGAGAATATTTGCAAAGCCAGAAGTTTACACTGTTCCATACAATATTTGTTATATGAACCCTCTGCTTTTGTGATAGTGCTTGACATCTGGTCTTTATGCATGCTTGTAGTTTATCAGAGAAGGACTGCAATGTGTCCATGTTGGTTAGTGGCTGTTTAAACTGCTCAGCCCCCCACTATGACCCAGACGCTGTTCGTATCAGTTCTTTGTGAAAGCTAAGACAATCACATGAGCGTCCCCGTTTTCACTCGATGGATGTACGCTTGGCAGTGTCTTGAATAAAACCGAAGCTATCTACCTACAGAGAGGGGCAGATCCAGAGCTACTGTGCTATGTAGGAAAGTCATGTCTCATTGGAAAGGGAACTGGCTGAGTTACAGCAACACGTAGTGTAGTTGTTGTAGACTGACTGCTCTCCCGCTCATTGTCAAACACGCAGCGGAGTTTTGATTTACAGCTCAAACATGGACTTCTCTCCAAAGAGACACTTTGCCCCAGGTTTGATCATTTCAGCATCTCATTTCTGTTTTCTCTTCCGACTCCTTTTGTTCTCTGGTCTCGTCTCAGCAAAGACTTTCAAGCAGCTGCTTCCTTTGCAAACTGTATATCTTGCTGTACTTGAAGATACATTGGCACCTCAATCTCATTTTCAAGATCTTAGTAGTGACTTAATTCCTACAGAAATCTGTTTTCTTCTTGTATGGTCTTCTCATTCAATCTCACGTCCTTTTTCTTCTTCTGATATTTCTGAACTTTGTCTTTATTTGACAAGAAAACAGTGTCACAACTTTTTTTCTGACTTAGAGGGTTTCTGGGAGTACTCTTTAACATCAGATAAGAAAGTGTTCATTAAGAACTCACTAACTTTATCAGAATAAACGTTTCAGAATCTTGTTATTATTTGTCTGCTGTTCACTTCCTCCCACCCAAACCTGCTTTTTAACTCTCTCGTGAAGTATACCAGCCTCCACGGTGCAGTGAGCCCACCTGCATTAACCCACAAAAGGCAGATTATGCAAAATATAAATTTGTTGTCACTCGCTGCTTTCAGCTGTCTGCCCTCCACTCTGCCAGGAAACAGAAGAACCCACAATTCCCTTTGTTGTGGGCCGCCTGTAGCCTAAAATACTTCTCTCTTCTCTTTTTACTCTCCTTAATTGCATTCCCCTCAATTTCCCCCTTGCCCTAAAGTGGGTGGCACAGAGCAGCTTCTCAACAATTACACCAATACCTTATTTAAGACATTTCTTATCCCTGGGCCTTGAGTAAGAGCAGAGTAGGAATGAGAGGAGCTTCTTGGCTGCAAGGTGGACAGCAGGGAAGAGTCATTGGAGTTTGCCTGTTCTGCCCATGTTTGTTGGAGTTCTCACCAGACACTCCAGCTTTTCAAACTACAGAGAAAGACTCAAATAAGCACAATAGGCCAAAGGGCCTTGTCTTATTAATAACCTTTCAGGTGTTCAGACTTTAGAGTATAGCCTCATACTACACCTTACGGAGCCGCTGTTGGAACCCATCAGAAACAGTGGCAGGGTAAGGTATAGGATGAGGCATGCAAGGAATGGCATGTGAGTGCCTTTTTTCCTCTGGCACAGTGTCCAAACCAGTCATACAGGACAAACAAACGAAAATGTACTAATCTGTTCCTGAATATCTTTAACTCTGCTGTAGCAATCTCTGATGTGCAATGGAACAAGTAAAGGCTCATTCCATACTGAAAGGTACAGAAAAGAAACAATGTTTTGGCTCTGGAGGCTTCCTGAGGTGTGAGGAGTCTTAGTCTCTTAGGTGGCAGTATGGCTCTTGCGTGACTCACAGCTAATCCTGTCCTAAGGAGGAGCCAGGCCCCCCCCGAGGGCTGTGGTCTGACATTAACACAGGCTGCGAGCAATCTTTCTCCCAGTCCAGATTGCTGGTGAAACTAATGCCTAAACAAGCCAAAAAGAGAACAAACCCTGTGTGCGAACGAAAAGAATGTGAGCATAACTAAATTTCTGTTCCTCAAAAGTAAATGGCAATCAATCTCCCTATTCTAAAAATGCTTCACTAACTAGGAGAAAGCATTTTTCACCTGAGAACTCCATGATAAGCGAAATCTGAACCTCCTTAAATAGGACGACAAGCTGGCTAAAACTAAACCAATGTTCAGATTCAGTCATGGAGACCAGATTCTGGTTTAGTAATCTGACCTTTGGTTTAGTCTTATTAATTAAACAGAGTATGGATAAGAAAGACTCTTATGTAAGAATGCTGTTCATTGACTGCAGTTCAGTATTTAATACAATCATCCCCCAGAAGCTGACAGATTGAACTTGCTGAACCTTAACACCTCCCTCTGTAACTGGAATCTGGACTTTCTGACCAAGAGCCCTCAGACAGTCTAGATCGGTAATAACATCTCCAGCACCATCACAATGTGCACCAGAAACCCCCCAGGGCTGTGTGCTCAGCTCACTGCTGTTCACATTGATGACTCATGACTGTACTGCCAAGCACAGTTCAAACTGCATCAAGTTTGCTAATGACACGACAGAGGTGGACCTCATTAGCAACAAGAATGAGTTACCATACAGAGATGAGGTGGACTGGTGCACGAACAACAACCTATCTCTTTATGTAAACAAAACAAAAGAGATAGTCCCCAACTTCAAGAGGGCCCATGCTGATCACTCCCCACTGTACATCAATGGTGGAGATCGTTAGAAGCACCGTGTTTCTTGGTGTACACATTACAGATGACCTCACTTGGTCCCTCAGTACCACCTCCCTAGCCAAGAAAGCACAGCAGCGTCTCTATTTCCTGGGGCGACTGAGGAGGGCAAACCTTCCCCCGCCCATTCTTCCCATGCTCTACAGAAGCACCATTGAGAGCACCTTGACCAGTTGTGTCACTGTCTGGTTTGGGAACTGCAACGCTTCAGAACACAAGACCCTGCAACGGATTGTGGAAACAGCTGAAAAGATCATTGGAGCCTCCCTCCCTCCCATTTCTGTCATCTATCACAAACGCTGCTTACACAGGGCCTCCAGTATAGTAGAGGACCCCTCCCACCTCTCCCATAAACTCTTTGCCCTCCTACCATCTGGGAAAAGATATCGCAGTGGACGGGCCAGCTCCACCAGACTCTGTTACAGCTTCTTCCCCCAGGCTGTCAGGCTCCTCAACACCCTGGAATCTACTGGCACCCCCCCCAGTTCTAGAAACAGGGTTTCAATCCCCCCCGTGTGTTGTGTAGATTGTATTATGTATTTGCCTAGTAATTTGCACTATGTGTATCCTGTCTACAATGTCTATGTCAGTGTCCTGTCTGTATTTGCACCGTGGACGAGGAGGAACGATATTTCGTTCCACTGTATACTTGTATATGGCTGGAATGACAAATAAACGTGAACTTGAAGAGTAGAATACCCCTTTGAACATCAGTGTTTCCTGCTTTTGGCAGATGAGATGAGATCTATTGTGTGAAGGAAGGTTTTCAGGAGTGCAATTAGATAAGAACTGCAACCATTATAAATTAAATAACCTACAGGATTACCCAGATTGTAACAATATCAATATGGCTCTGAATGTCCTCTAAACAACCTTGTCTTTCTTGTGTGCTTGTTTTTTTTTATCAGCACTGATCAAAGCTGTTATTTCAGTCTCTTGGTGACTCCTAATGAGAAGTGAGAGGGTCTAAATGTGCAGAAGCAGATGGCAGGGGAAATAAATCTAGCACCGTCACAGTGCACTGACTCATGAAACCTTTAATGTTGCATAAGTACAGTGTGCAAAATTAATCTGCGTTTAAAGAGCACTGTTTGCTGAAGGGAAGCGATTCCTACTACTTGATCTGATGTAAATACAACTACTTCTCTTTATGAATAGGCATTTATCAGATGCAAATGAATTGAAAAGCATGTACGATATAATAATACAGTACCACTTGATTAGATATAGTTATAAGAAGTGGGTGCCCACTACACTACTTGTGGAACCACAAGACCATCCATCAGAATACAAGATACTCAGATGCCGCAGCTGTATCACCCTGCAACTCCCAGCTGGCTGCCCACTGAAGCTCAGCAGGTGTGAGCCTGGCCAGTACCTGGATGGGTGGCCTCCAGGAGCTGCTGGAAGAGGGGTCAGTAAGGGGGCGCTCACCCTGCAGTGTGTGTGGTAAACCCCCCTGTACAGTGATGGGGACCCTATACTGTAAAAAATTAGCCTTCGTTGGGATGAGATGTAAAACCGAGGTCTGCAGAATGTCCTTAACTTTTCTGCAATAAGAGAGGTTACAAAAGGGGCACAGTTGTCCCATTTAGAGTGTTCATTTATTACCAGCTAGATGATCCCAACATTTCACCCAGCCTTCCAACAGAAGCCAGCGCACCAGCTTTGACAACATGCCTGGGTAGTGTTCCTCATTCCCACAACCCTCTGTGGAGAAACACGCTTCCTCATAGCCTCCCCTTGTGTTTTGTGCTTTGGAATTCTGAAAAAAGTCCACTTACTTGACTTTGTATGAAAAAATATGGCAGATTAAACTGGAATACAGTTATTTAACAATCACTGAAACCGTGGTGCAGTCAGTACACTTTGTACTGCTGGCCTCTCCCATTCATGTTGAGGCGAACATTGGGCATTGTAGTGGAAACAGCTCTATTTAAAAGGAGAAGTGTCAAACACCTACTTACCATTTACCGACCTGACAAGCCTTATCACTGCGTTATCTTATTTTTGTGGTTTTTTTAGAAACATTTGCACTTTTGCCAGCGGCTGGTAATATTCTTCACGATCAAGTATGATTCATTGTTTTTCAGATCAGAAATGATCTCATATTCTGCAAAACATGCTTGGATTGTTGTACAGACTTCTCAAACTATCCACCTTCCAGCCTTTTCATATCTTTCACCTGCTCTTCCTGTATTGAGTGGGCTTTAAGTTGGACCTGTTTGCACGAGACTGCTGGACTTGGAAGTAAAGTCTTACAATTCGATGAGCCTTTGTACATTAAAGTTAAATGAATATTTAATATTTTAGATCAGTTTATTTTATTGAATCAACTGTTACATTTCAGGCATTACACAGGCATTTTTTAATCTGTTTCAATTTATTTGCACAACAGGGTATTTTACCCATGTTACTTGGCATAAGGCTAAAACTGCAATCTTAGCACCTTGGACTTGAGTCCTATCCACTCCCCCACAATGCAAAAAGGAGGGGAAAAAAAAATCACACATTTTGTCCTTTTTGCATTGGTTTCTAGTTTTACAATGAGATAAAAATGTACTATAACATTTTATTGCTTTATAATTGTCAATTATGGCTGCAGCTTTCTTTAAAACTTACTGATGTTATTTATTACGGACATTTTGTTCACTGTATATTTGTAACATTTGCCATGTTTGCAAAGACATATGTATCTGTTCCATTAACTGGGAGACACTAGGAAAGAGAATGAATATCCTAATTCATGATCCTGATATTCTGAAATGAGTCTGAAAGTTCAATTCAAAAAGCTTAGAAAAAAATTACATCAGCCTTTGCTAAACAAATATTGAATTTCTAATTAGATGAAGGCTCAGCAAGACTATTGTGCCGGACAAAACTGAAGTCTGAATAAAGCAGAAGAAACTAGTTGGTAGAACTCAAAGACACGTTATTCATTCGTAAACAAATTTCTAATTGTTGTCTATTTCCTCAATCTGTCATGACATATTTCCTTACAGAATTTAGGGGGTTTTCACCAAAAGCAGATGGCGTAGATAAACTGTGGGCTGTTTTTCTGATTTCACAGTACAATGAAATTAATCACCAGTGGAGTTCATTTCCCTAGAAACAGATGATTTATGCAACAGTGATTGGATCTTCATTTACAGGGAATTTTCTGAATGGACAAAGCACCACATCAAAGGAAATAGGGAATCTGTTGACAAGTAGACTTCTTTTGCTGACATGCCTGAAAGAGGTTGTAATGTTATGAACGAATCTATGAATGATGTTTAAATAAATTTCACTGAATAAACATGAAATGAAACAGGCAATACAGTTTGGCTTCTACTTAGTCACAGCATTTAGACCACTATTTGGTAAATGGTTTTGATTTGAAACCTTTGTAGTAGATACTGTGTATGGAAAGGAATAAGCTAAGAAATGTACTCACAATGTGTACCCCCTTTTCTGTTGTCTCCAGACGTTAACTGAAACTGGGGTGGAGAAAATCTGAAATGTACAAACATTTAGAGTTGATACCCAGAAGCAGATTTGGTTTGGCACACTGAGTGCCGTTAGTGTGCGGAATACGTTATTGCCAGCTCTTGGTCTTGAATTTATTACACCAAGATGCTTGGATTTGGAGACTAGCTACGTAAACATGAGGTCCTCAGGCCTCCCAACTTTTTCTCCTTTAGGGTCTAGGTTGAGCACTGCTGACTCAAAAGGCATGGCCTGCACAATCTGCCTCAGGCCTGGGATTCATTGGCTCATTTTCTTAGACAATGATATCATGCGGAATCATACAGCTTGTATTTCACATCAGTTTTGTTTTTTAAATCTAAGAGCTAATGTGTCTCCAAGACGCTCCAGATCAAACACTGACATCAGTCTATACCAGCTGTCTATACCTGTAATCCACTCACTTCTGTCATGCATACTAGAGCTTGGGAGCTCTTTGCATGCTTCTGGACACTAAAAGCTCTTTTTAGCAAAAATAACAAACAGCTATGCATCAACACGTCACTTTTGAATTGATAATGCTTAAAACAAACTCCTTAAACAAAAGAAATTGGTTGACAAGGAACTGCTCTGTTTGGTTTCTGAACAGAAGCCAATTTCCTGGAAAATTTTTTTAGAACATGTAAAATCCCCTCCAAATCTACCTCAGAGAAGGATTCACAACAGTGTTTTCACAAGGGGCAAGACAGCGTGATCAGTTGGATAACATTCACAATCTCTCAGGAACAGAATAGACTACCAGATCTGCGAACAAAACAAAATCGATTAGTGACAGGAAATGACCAAAACTCTCACATTTTATGCACAATGAAAATGCAACGGCCCATGTTGTATGCTGACATCTTCTCCATATGTCCTTCCATAATGTTATTCATATTTTAAATAGGTGTGTTTGTTTAATTTGCTTGCTGGAATATGCAAATACCCATAACCCTCTATTGGATAAAGTGGATATAAATAGATGGATGTTCTTTGGGATAACAAAATGAGAGATCAAGTAATGCGATTTCAGAAAAACAAGGTTCTCAGCCTTTGGTATTTCAGTTCAGGAAAAGTTGCCAAAATTAGTAGTTGGGGAAAAAACATATAGGCTTTGTATTAGTAGAATAGTAGTGAAACTCATGGTTATGCCTTGTCTGTTTCTTCAAGATCGCCTGGTTGCTATGTGCGTGATCAAAGGTCTGTAAGGGCAGCTGCTCAGAGAATGACATGTTCTTCTTCAAGAATCAGCAGAACAGTCCAGTGAACCCTGGAACCCAGAAACCTGTCTCCATGTGCAACAGGTTACATCCTGGAAGGTCATCTCACTAATCCAAGAATATCTGCTCTTCAGCCCAGGAACATCACAGTAGTGTTTTTCATCTGCATTGAACTTCCTTGAACCTCAAAGGAGAATTATCCTCCACATCGACAAAATAACTGTCCATTTTGCAGCAGGACAATGCAAGACCACTTATAACCAGTATTTCAAAGGTGCAATGTATGGATGAAAACCACTTTTTTACACCATTTTTACCATGGTCAGCTTTTTCTTCCAACTTCTCCACAACCGGGCAATCTTCCACCAGCCCGCTGTGGCAGCCCACAGCAGTCTGTCCAGAGGCTGATCGGGACCGAGCGTCTGCACTGCCAGGATTGTTAATGCTCAGTAACTTTTCACGTTCATTTTCACATTAAATCATACTTAAACCTAAAAAATGTCTCCTGATGTATTTGCATTTTTGTTGGACCTCTGTGTTTAAAATATTCTGGTTAGTTCCATTAGACCTGAGGACCGTGGTGCTTTTCAGCATCAGTACCACTATATATTGTAACGTCCCGTGAGAGACCGAAACTCGGCACAGCTCAAGGTTATTCCAGTCCTTGTCCAACAGGTTTGCGCGTCTTCGTTTCACATGCTTCACTCGTGATTGCGTGTCCTCCCCCACCCCACAAGTATAGATTCACTGACAATAGCCAGCTTGAAGTTCATTCACTTGTTTATGCACCTTTTTTCTGCATAGACACTCATTTTTACCGAGCTGAGCATGTACTTCAAATTGACGGCGCAGTTAACCGTTAACCTGGATTTTCAGGAGGACGACAGGGCTGTCATGAGAACAGTCACGAGGTATTATCAGACAGGAAGCGATGGAGGGAGGAGTTACTAAAAAAAGGGGGAGGTGTTACTGTTGTCTCCTTTTATAAGCGTCTACATAAGGGCTAAGGTATTGTCGTTTGATTTGTTTCCGTGAGAGGGTGCAAAAATGAACAACCATTTGGTACTAGCTGTTTTCGCCTTGTGCGCGGTGGAGATTAGTTACTCCAGACCGCCCTGCAGGTACCCCCCGTCGGAGTGGTGTAAGACTCGGCAGATCGCCTTGGAGTGTGGGGTAAGTTTAAGTTTTCACGGGCGACTACATCCCACTCATACCGGTGTCTCACGCTAAGCCGCACGGTTGTACAGAGGGCTGCAAAAAAATCCCTTTTTTTTTTTGCTGCCGTACCGGCTTTTGCAATGATTTTTTTTATATTTTAACGATTTTATCATTCATAAGTTTGTGCAGAGCGACGGGTTGTATTCGCATTGCTGTTGCTCTTGCTAAAGGAAAAAAAAACGAAAGTTAGCTAGAAACACGCCACGGTTTATTGAATGCATTGTATGCTTTTTCTCAGTCACTCCACAGACATTCGACATCTTCTGTGGAGATTTTATAACCTTCAGAAAAAAGGGTTAGAGAACAGTACAGTATAGAGCCCACTGTCTCGATACAGTTGGAGCGTGTTAGTTTCCCTTTGAAAACCGACGTGTTTGCGTGGGCGTTAATGTCAGTAAAAATGACACTGAAGAAAATCCCTCTCTGATTTATTTAAAGTTATCGAATTGGCTTTCTGACTGCAGTGACGCTGAAATTCCCCTTCGTTCCCTCTGGGACCTTTTCCATCGATTCCAAAACTGAAATCTCTAATTTAGGAAGGCAGTCTGGTTTTGAATAACAATGTTTCTGCCTTGCCGGTTGTTACTTTATTCAAAATAATAACACTCGCTTCTGCTAAGTTACTGAAGTCCCGGCGAGTGACGGAACTGGGGTATTGTGAAGTTTTCGGAAAGCAATACGATTATATTCTTGCCGGCCGTCAAACATCACTAAAGGGTACAGTTTCATCTTTTCAGAATTGCTTTTAAATGTGAGTGTGTCCTCTAACTGCCGCATTAAGAACAATCGTTATACCCAGATTTAACCTCCTGTTTGTGGATAAAAGGTTTTGATAGAACCATCTGCAAACATGTTTGGCAACGAAAACAATGAATAGCGTGTTTGTTACTCTTTTTAAATACTTTATAGTGAGCTAGTAAAGGGAATATACCGAATGACTAATAATCGTGATGTTGATGAACTTTTTTTATTGGTGATTTTGCATTACATTACTTGTAAAAGTATAGCTATCCATTAATCATAGATGCACAGATTGTGCATCAGTTCCTCTCGATGTGGGTGGGACTTGCTTTTATCTCCCTGTGTGCAGGAGTTTTGTCCCAAACTGAATACAAGAGTCATGCATTACAAATACATCATAGTGATACTTACAGGCTATAGAAATCAACTGTAGAAATGTAGAATTTACAGCATGAAGGAAAGAATTTAGAAGTGTGCTCTGTTTTTCCCTGATATCCCAAACCGCTTAAAGTCATGTTTTTACCATAGCCTCTCTTTCAGGGTGTATTTAACAGGAAAGCAGAGCTATAAACGATCCAGATACCTGCAGTAATCTGGCATTGCTGTGGAGTTTCCTCTATAGCATGTCTAACATTACTGCTGAGCCTCAGCAGCTAACGTTATTCCTTCTTGAGCTGCTGTTCAAGTAAAACTATTTTTCTGCAATTTCACTCACGAGATCAATAAAGTATCTATTTTAGTCACCAAGGGCCACAGTGTAGATTTGCCAGATCTCTTTAACTTGGCTTTTTACAGTCCATAAAGTAGGGTTAAATTGGACTCTCACCACCCATCCATTCTCTCACCACTTCTTTCTGAACCAAAGCTCAATTCAGAGTTCCAGGGGATCTGGAGCCTATATTGGCAAGCAATGTACACAAATTAGGGTACAGCCTGGACAGGTCACCAGTCCGTCACAGGGCAGACACAGACACTCGAACCTTGGGTATTTCCAGAAGCTAAATTAATCTACCAATATGATCTAGGACTATGAGGAAAAACCCACACAAATTACAGGAAGAACATGCTATCTCCACACAGATAGCACCCCAAGTCTGGAATTGAACCCAGGGCCCCAGCACTGGCGAAGCAGAAACTCGAAGCACTGCACCACTGTTTCGACCTCTAAGACGAAGTTCTAAAGAATAAAATCTCAAAAGTTGGTCAACCTATTCAATTACCTGCGATTAACTGCGATCTGACCAGGCTCTGTGGTGTCACGGGTAACTGTACCTTTAATGAAACTGATTCTCTGAAAATCTTCTGGGGGGGGAAATCCAATATACTTCTAGGTGTAGAAATGATTAGGTTAATTTATTGGGAACCAAGCGTAACAGACCCAAGACGGAGACCATGGAAACCAAGCTGAAAATACAACCCCAAGAGCCATGCCTGGCGTGAAAGATGCAATGCCGTTTTTGGTCTCCGCAGGTGGAAAAGCAGTGTCTGGAGTACGCTGGCACAGCTGCCCCCAATGTGGAGGTGGCCCTGTACTACGAGAGCCTGTGTGGCGGATGCCGGGAATTCCTGGTGGAGATGCTTTTCCCCACCTGGTCGATGCTTCACGACATCATGAACGTGACGCTGGTGCCTTACGGAAATGCTCAGGTAGACGTGACTTAAAAACGCGTTTTGGTTATCCTGAGTTTTTGGTTGCTTCTATTAAAATTGCCTGATGGTATATCTAAATAGTCAAGTGTTTTTTTTATTGTCCAGGTGCCGTTGATCAGAAATGCTCAGGCTCTGTGTTATAAATCATTGCTATATGACCATTGTTATCTCAGGATGAGAATTATTAACTATCTTGATCCTTGGCTTGATGAAAGGCACAATTTGAGATTATCTGCATGAAAAGAATGTCACAAGATTTAACTCGATGAGAGAAAAAAAAAATCGGTAACAGCATCCTATGATAGCTAATCTCACGTGATAGCATTCAGATTTTCTGCTTTATAGACAAGCAGGAAGATGTCATTGATGATCCCTCACATTTCTAAGCCCCTTCATTTACAGAGTCTTCAGTAAAGGACTTAACTAGCAAACTTGGAACGGTTTTTCTTAGTATTGTAAATTGTGTGCCATGTCTGGAACTGGAGGATCCAGCAGCCACACACAAATTGCATCTAATGAAATGGCAGCACTTGAGCTCTCGACTGAATTAAGGGTAAAAAAAAAAAAACTCCTGGCATTTACAGTGCAGGGTTGATATCACCAGGACAGGTTAGAGCAGCTCTGTGAATATAATCAAATATTCAGTCCTTTCTTGAAGACCCTGTATATACAGTAAATCCATATATCATCAGCTTTAATGGACTGTCCCCCCTTGTCTGTGTGCTCACTTCCTCACACGTCTTCTCTGCCCCCAGGAGACGCTGGTTAAGAAAGAGTACAAGTTCACCTGTCAGCACGGCGAGGAGGAGTGCCTAGGCAACATGGTTGAGGTGAGCATTGCAGCCACACCTCATCCTGGGGGCTCCCTCCCATCCATCCCCTACAGCCGGGGGGACATAGACAGCACCGCAGGTCTGGAGCTGAGCCCAGTGCCCCAGCGCTAACTGCCGCTGCACAGCTCTCGCATTGATGCGCAGAGAGCAGCTGTCAGCATGTCTGTAGAGATGGCTGGCTGGCATTATTCTGCATGTACTTTTACACAGATTGTTTCTTGAAGGAAACAAGGCTGTCCGGTTCAACATGGTTTTGTAGTTTTTTCTATGGTCCCACATGCCTTAGGGTGGAGACATACCTTTAGTTTTTTGTTCTTCCACATAGTTCTCTAAAAGTGAATCTAATAAGACTTCAGGGAAGGTTGTACTCTGTTTAATTGATTTTATTACCTCCTGTATCCCTTCTAGACCTGCATCCTGCATTACACACCATATGCACTTTATGTCCTCTTCTGCATGGAATCGTCTAACGATGTCGTCAATTCTGCCCAAACTGTAAGTATCAATGCTGCCTTATTTGTCATTGTCAGGCCTGGGCCTGGTTGTTTCGATGTAGCTCATTCCCTCAATCGCACTCTTTCAGGCTACTGAGAGCCAAGCTGTGCCTCATGGGAGACTCCAAGACTGAGGTTCCTGACCTCACTGTAAAGGCTTAATGACCCCAATTAGTTGGATTATAATTAGACATCAACCAACCATTGATCTGATTGGTTAACCCATTGATTGAGTAGATGGAGTTTTTCCCCCTTTCAAAAGGACCCCAAAGGGTTTCACAAAGAATGGGATGTTCTTCATCAAAAGTGTAGCTGATATGCACTAGCAGATCAGGTCAAATATCCTCCAGTAATTGTTGTGTGCAGGTAAAGGTGAGAATTTACTTCCCCATTGAAGTAAGGGGAATAGGAATGCGAGATTAACACTTGTCCTCAAACATGACCAAGTAAGAACTCTGGTTACCCATCTTCAAAAGAATGGGTCTTGTTCACCATACGTACAGTAGTACACCATATTCCCCTAGTTTAAGAAATTTTTAATTTAATGGTTTAACTAAACATAAAAGTAAAAGTTCTGTTAGCTTTGAATGTTTTCTCAGATATTGGTGTTCATTTAAGATAAGCCATTGGTGACTCATACATGTCTTGACTCGCACTAAAGAGAAAACAAACTACTCCATGACCTCCGAGAGTATAAATTCACAAGCCCTCCCAACAAACTTACGTATAAAAGGCAATGACAAAACCGCAAACTTTTTCTTCCTCTTTCAAAGTGTATATAAAATGTTGAAAGGTGCATTGCAAATCAAGCTCAAATAATATTCTCAAAATGTATTATTTTTTGTACAAAATTTAATTGTACCTTGTATCTACCTCTTCATTAATTGAGTTTGTGATATTAATTTGTCAATAACCAACCCAAGTTTATTGAATAGCCCTTGACACTACAAGGAGCAGCTTTTACACACAGGATGCCAGTGCATAACTGCACGTCCTGTGAATTATCCCCATGAGGCTCAGCACTGCAAACGCCTGAATAACTATTTCCTGAAACGGTTGTCACAGTGCTGATTGTCAGGAGGCGAGAAGGGGAAGCTTGCCATTTGCAGATTAATATCGTTCTGCATTAAAAGGGGTGCTTCTGCTTTTACTCACTTGGTCTGTCGTTTGTTGTTTTTTGCTAGTGCAAATGTATTGATGCGTCACAAAGCCATTGCAACATAAATGCCATGGGGAACCAAGTACAGAGCAGAGTGCAAACAATGTGTGACCACCTTACAAGTAAGAAAAGAGCCAACGCCAAAGGGAAGAGAAGTGCTCCTCTAATGCCCAGCTTCTGTCCTGAAAGACCACTGTTCACCATTTGGCAGTGAGCCCTAGCAGCTTCATTAATTGATAATGGAGAACATCCCTCCCATTGTGTTTAACCATTGACTACATGCATTTGCCTGTACTTCTGATCGCCTCAGATCTGCACTGCTGACATCACACCCCGTCTTGGCTGTTTGTAGTGTCAGAAAGTAGTTCCTATTTAAGTGTCACAAAACGGCCCCTGAACGCCACAGTATAAAGCTCTCTCAGTGCATTGCTGAAATGTTGTTTGCATATGGTTTATAGGACTTTCTGATTAACCTGTGGAGATGTTTGCCTTTGATATGCCTTCTATAACTAAGCAAAAAATGAAAATGTAACATGCAATGCAAGTATTGTATAAGTGCAGTGCCAAAACGTGGATTTGAATAGGACCAGGCAAACAATCTTTTGTGAAGGAATGCCTTTTGCATGAAAATCTAGACGGGGCAAAAGATTGACCGATTTGACTACGTTGAAGTGCTTTTTGGCCAGCCGGGCGGCCATAGCATGACCCGCAGACGTGTGGAGCGTCACGATCCTCAGCCCTCCTCTTAAGGGTGCTTCGACCCTCTCGTATTTTAGTTCATTATGTCCACCTGCCCCGTTTGCCCATTATTTAAAGCAAGCACTCCCTATGCTTCCTTTCTGGACTCGTTGGCCTGTCAACCCTTCCTAATCCTGCTGTATCTTCCCCGATGTCTGTCTCCATTTACTTCTGGATTATAGCATCTACATAGGGCCCTGAACTACACTTCACATTCCATGAAGTGATGGAGCTTTCAGTCCTGTGCAGATGGGGAACTGCTGATCCTGTGTGTGATTCCCCAACAGTGCCTGAAGCTGTATGACCCCTCAGTGGAATGGGGCAAAATCATGTCCTGTGCCAACGGCACCCTGGGTAACCAGCTGATGCACACCAACGCACAGATGACAGACGCCCTCAAGCCTCCCCATCAGTATGTGCCATGGGTGACCATCAATGGGGTAAGAGACATCAGGATAATCCACCCATTTAATCAGGGCTTTGCTGTCCCTTCTTCTGAAGAGGGTTCAGCTCAAACTTCAGCTTGCCCTTGCAGTCTTTTCTCCCATTTCTCTCTCTGCCGAGACTCTCTAACTGAGATGTCCCATTTCACACTTCTCCTTATAGCTTCCTCTCCCCCATAAAATGTTCTTTGTGTACCAGTTCTGCTTTTAAAGCCTGCTGTGCGTATTCCCTGCAGGAGCACACTGAAGAGCTCCAGAACAAGGCCATGGCATCACTTTATACCCTGGTCTGCAGTTTATACAAGGTGAGTCAATTGCAGGAAAACTGAGCTTTTTTAAATCTAGATTTAAAAAAACATGGCTGCTGAAACACTATTAGATACAACTAGGTAATGCCTTTACACAAGGTATTTAGTAAACGACTACAGAAGCATGGACATCACACGCCAGAGTCTGTGGTAAGAGCCTATGTATAGGAGTGTCCACTAGGGGGCACTGCCATTATGCTTATAGCTTTACTTGGCCATTAACAATAGTAGGTAAATTACCTCATTCCAATTTTTCCCTTTAGAATTTTTAGGGAATTCAGCTCTTGAAACATACTCCTACTGACTTATGAAAATATAGGAATGCAAGAAGGATGGATGTTTTTCTTGGATATGAGCAAAGTAGGAGGGAAACTCCCCTGTTCTAGTTTTTCCTGTGGAAATTCCCTTCAGGGGATTTTGTTGCTAAAATGAAAGTTAATTAAGAAATGTAAAAAAAGAGGGGAACAGTGAGTTCTACCACTTGGATCTCAACCAACAGTTCCCCAAGTCCCGCAAAGTAAAGGAGTGCTTCCTCTGCTCAAGTTTTATTTCCCCACATGGAGTCCATGTGTATACTCAGGTTTGTTTCACAGTTAATGAAGATATCTGCTTCAGTCCCCTGGGCTGACTGTCAGTGCCTTTGAGGATTTTGAATACTTGTGGTATCAGGTTCCCCTATGGTCTTCTCTGTTGAAGACTAAAAAGCTTTAGTTCCTTCAGGCTGTTCGTGGAAGCAGCTATTTAGAAATGGGGTCCTTTTGTAAGGGTGTAATTGGAGAGCCAATTCATGTCAGTTTTAAAAAAAAAAGTTGATTTTCATTTGTTTGTATTTTAGGGAGAGAAGCCACCAGCCTGTACAGGAACACCAACAAAACCACTCAAAAAGTACTGTTGAAAAGGGATCTCATTTACATGCAGACATCATTCCAAAGCTAGTTCTTAAATCCTCATTGCTTGGTTTAAGAATTAACTGCTCAAGTGATACTCGAGCTTAATAACAATTACATCTCATACCTTTGTAAATGTAAATAAATGATTGATGGTTTTGATTTTGTCTTTTCTTACCAAGATTTAATAGTAAAAAAATAGTCAAAGCTTTGCCCTGATTTCTACTAGATCTATACCAAAGGAGTCTAATACAGACCAGGAGTTTATTTCACACATCAGACCTTGTGAGCATTTGATCTGGGAGACTTGGGGAAACCAAGGCAGTGTTAATAACAAATGAATACCTACATAAGTGTTAAACATGAAAGGTATAATGCAAGTTACACCCTGTTACACAGCACAAGAGAGTGCGATACATCATGCCAGTATTTTATTTTGTCAAGTTGGCTAAGTGACAAAAACTGCCTTTTAACACAAAGTGGCCTACTGCTGCAGGGGGAGTACAGGCACTCAGAATAAAGAGAGAATGCCTTACCAACCTGGTATTGCATTTTGGAATTAATTCCCAATTGACTTCTCATTAAAAGGATTACAATGTTAGTTATAACAACCTGGGTGAGGGCAGCAGTGGAAAAGATCTTTAAATTCAAGGTCTTTTAAATTCTAAGGAGGTTGCTCTACTCTAGTTTTAGAATCTAGACCATCCTGCTTCAAAAGCACCTTACAGCATTGTGATAATTTACTTTTTTGGGCTTTTCAGGTTTTTTTTTTATGTAGTTTTAAAATGTGTTACTAAAGACATACGTTATAGAACTGAGCCTGCCTAAAACTCTGTGCAAATATTTGATGGCACTTATTCTACCTTAGGGTAAACTTTACAGAGAAGTGATCTATAAAAAAAAAAAGTGGAAAGCTTCATAAATGGTTATTAAAAATTAGGACAATTTGTTTCAAGGCAAGAAGTTTTCAAACAACCTCTCAACCATCAGAACTATTATGAGCTTCGGTGGTACAGTAATTTGATTTCTAAGATACTCATGTGATTATATACAGTAGATGCATCCTAGTTTTGACTAGATCATCAGCATTAGAAGTAGAAGGCTTTTAGATCATAACCATGATTGCATTCTAGATTTATATAGTTGAATCCAGGGGTATCCAAACTACAGCCTGCAAGTTCATTTAGAATTATAATTACATTTGGCCTGATATTATATAGGGTACTATAGCCACCGCTATATAGAGGCATGATATAGGGCAGAGCAGTGGCTGCTGGTTCAAGTCCCGCAGCCGGCAGAGGAATCCTACTCCACCGGGCTTCTGCACAAGGTCCTTAACCCCAACTGCTCCAGGGGCACTGTATAATGTCTGACCTGCACTCTGACCCCAGGCTTCTCTCCCTGTCTGCATCTCATGGAGAGCAAATTGGTATGAGGAAAAACTCCCAATACAATAAATTGTATATGGTGATCTTAAGTAAAAATTGCAGTTCCTATTTTGAACACTGGGTGCCATCCTTGCATAAAATCACATTACAAAAACTGAATAGAAAACCTCTCCCCCTCTTTAAAACTTGAATTCTGTACATTAACAAGCTTTGAAATAATAATAATAATAATA